AAAGCTAAATATACTTTTAAAATACATTCGCAAATTTATCTAAATATCTAAGTTTTTACTTTTTTTTCATCTGTTCTAAAAACAAAATAAATAATAAATAATAATTTTACAGGAGTTTTGAAATACACAGAAATAAGTTGTGACTGAACAACTATGAAAATAATTTTTTTTTTAAAGATTAAAGAAATATTTCTAAACTAATTTGCAAATATAACTAAATTTGACAAAACGTTTCTTGTTTCACATTTTTTTCAGGATTTTTAATCGACTAAAAATATCAATAAAATGATAAAAGTCTGATAAACAAACAAACAGAATTCTTCTGTAAAACACACAAATACGAGTAAAATTATAATAAAGTCAGCTGGAAACTTCACATTTAAACCTGTTAATGAACAGCCATGAAATTAACGTATTTCTTTTTAAAGAATTTTTTTCCCTTTTACATTGACTTATATTCAATCAGAATTTCACTCATGTGTCACAAATATTTAATTTTACAAACAGTTTAAATGGACGTAATTCGTGAGGAGATAAAGACGCGTTTCTTAAACGACTGTTTCCTGTGAATAATATTATAATGTCTGTAAGGACTGGGAGTAAAATAGGTTTTAAATATTTAAATATGCTTCAATAAACATTAAAAGACTCAAAAATGTAAACAATCGTGTGAAATTAAGGGAAGAAAACGTCTTAAAGTTATGAAAACGAGTGTGTTTTAAAGTGACGACCAGAAACGGATTTAAAGGTGGATCTGGACGGAGCAGCAGCAGCGTGCACAGAGTGGACCGGAGGAGACGGTTGGTGCTGAACAGCGCATTAAGAGCTGCAGCACGCATGGATTCACGCATCAGAAGCTCTGCATCAGAACCGCTGACGGCTGCAGATCACCGGCGGTCCACTGACCTCTTTGAGCAGGAAGGAGGAGGCGGCGAAGGCGAAGGACCAGCCGTAGTGGTAGTTGAAGAACTGCTCGGGCTCCCTGGGCCGGTTCATCACCTCGTCGTTGATGCTGGAGATGTAGAGCACCAGGCCCACCACCAGGCTGAGGCCTGAGAAGAACATCGGCAGTGACAGAGAGCCGGCAGGTCGTTAGGCGGCCGCTCAGAACCAGCACAGCAGATAATTAGCTCCTAGCACGTCCAATTAAACAGTCAGAGACGGTTAACGGAGACGAGGGTCACCGTGGAGACGAGGGTCACCGTGGAGACGAGGGTCACCGTGGAGACGCACACTTCTGCTCCTGATAGAACATCTAATAGAAACTATCAATATGCTCGTTATTGATCTGAAATCAGAGACGTTTTCTTCATTTCTGTCTCATTTATTCTCTCTGCAGCTCCACAGAACCAGAACGACGTCGCAGCAAATGGACTGAACCGAGCGACTTCTTCACACGTCCAGGGACGGACGTCTGAAGGGTCATGTGATTAAACAAAGTAAACGTCAAGTCTGTTGAGTTTCAATTTAACAGAAAACACTTTAAACTCCTGTGAGTTCATCAGTCTGTTGTGACGTGATGGTTCTGGTTCTAAGATGAGAGAATGTTCTGCTTTGGTTTGTCTCTTCAGGGCTCGGTCTGATCTGGACCGACGCTCACAGACTCTTTTGGGTTCTGCTGTTCTGAGAGGATTTCAGGCTTTTCTCTGGATGTCAGACTGAACGTTTTGGCCTTTATTAGCTGCTTAATGCACATTTTCATCAAGTAATCGTTTGTTTGCAGCTCAAACACTACAAGGAGCTCAATGTTGGAATTTTTTGTCCAATTTTTCCAGAAACAGACACCTGGAGGTTAAAATGGTCGTTTTTTTTTTATTACTTTTGAAGGTCAGAAAGGCGACGCGACCAAATGCTGAAGACATGAACGTAAACGTACGACTCTGTACGAAATGATCTGGTTATTCTGAAGTTCTGCTGCTGATCCTGACTGACCTGAAACAGGAAAAGTTTGATTTAAGTCACACAGAGAGGAAAAAATAAAGCTTTCATGTCTTTTTATACGGCGGATGTAGAGATTTCTAAGACATAAACTGCAGCTTTCATTAGAGTTTAATGACTTTGAACATGTCGTGTGATTGACTTTTCAGTGACAACAGTCTGAACTCTGGCTGCAGCTTCGTCTCCGTCACACATCCGTCCAGTTCAACACATGCACAGAGTTCCTTTTTAATCCAAATCATCCAGAAAGCGATCATTAGCTTCAGTCTGCTTCACCGCCAGCTGGTTTGTTTGTGGTGAGACCAGAGTTCAGGAGAAACGCTCGTTAATCTGGACTTTTAAAGCTTGTTCGGGCAACGACTGACGATTAGCTTCACGGATGATGAATCTGTTGATTATTTTTATTGTTTCGTCTCTACAACGTCCATCAGAGTCTCCAAACCGAAGGTGGCGTCTATAAAAAGCCTTTTGTTCTCTAGAAGCTCAGCTGATCATCAATTAACAAACTAATCACGACTCTTCTGACGGTTTGAGTCATTTTAAGACTAAATTCTGTGATTCCAGCGTCTTAAACGTGAATATTTTCTGGTTTCTTTCCTCCTCTGTGACTCTAAACTGGACAAAACATTTAAAGAAACTCTGGTCCATGTTTTCAAACGCTTTAGGAACCAAACAGCTGATCGACTGATCCAGAAGCTGATAAACGTGGAGCTGCAGTTCTCCTGAAGCCGATCGTGTGGGTTTGCAGACGAGCGGCGGCACAGCGGCGACCTGAAGCCACCAAGCAAATGAACATATTTAATTGCAGTCACACAAACACCTCATTAGAATATCTGCTCGCTGTGTAATTAGCATAATTCAGGTGGCCTGTGTTTCTCTTTCTGCTAATTGGCACCGTGAACGGATCACTCCTGCAGAAAAACAAGTTAAACTATTTCCTTCCTCACGTCGGAGCTTCTGCGTTTGAGCTTTCCTCAAAAGTCAGATTAAAGAATTGCTTGAAAACGTGACGTTATTCTGTGTTTCAGTCCAACCGACGCTGTGAAACTGATAAAAGCAGCAGTGACAGATCGGATCTCGTCAGCCGGAAGCAGCACATGCAACATTAAAGGCTGCTGCTGCTTTCAGCTGCATGTTAAATGCATGAGAGCCGACATATGGCCGCGTCCAGCAATCAATATTCAGAGAAAGCTGCACGCTGGAAGATGCTCGGCGGTATTTTTAGCTGCTTAAACGGACGTTTAGGCGTCGATTTGACTTTGAAAATGCAGAAATCATGCTGCTGTCAGTGGAAGAACATGTTTATCTCCAAGAAAAAGGGCAGGACGAGGAGGAAGGTGGAGGTTAATGCTGCAGGTTAACATGAAAAAAGAAGCAAAGAAGGAAGATCAGCTGCTACCTGAACATGTGTGGCTTCATGCTGAGGATTTATTTTTACTTTCTGCTCTGATTTCTGTCGTTTGAACCAGGACATGGAGTCACTGCAGACCAAAGTCTAATATTTATCATCTCTCAGCAAATTCTGAAGCAAAACAAAAGTGCTTTATGGGTAAAAAGTTAAAGTTTTGCTGTTGTTTATGCCCTTAAACAGCCTGAAAAACCTAATTTAGAAGAAAATCTTTATGCGAAAGGCGAACAAGAAGGAAGATCAGCTGCTACCTGAACATGTGCGGCTTCATGCTGAGGATTTATTTTTATTCTGTAGTTTGAACAGAACATGAAGTCACTGCTGCCTCCTGCAGACCAGAAACTGCACATTTATCATATCTGAGTATATTCTGAAACAAAAAAAGTGCTTTTTGTGGTTAAAAAGTTAAAGTTTTGCTGTTTTTTATATCCTGAAACAGCCTGAAAAAGCCAATTAGGAAGAAAATCTTTCTGGTAGTGAAGGCAGGAAACCGTAGGCAGAGAAAGAGAGCCGGACAGGAAGGGAAGCTCAGAGAAAAGCTGCAAGAAAACAAAGAAAGAAGAAGCATCAGCTGCTAACTGAACATCTGTGGCTTGATGATGAGGATTACTCTGTAGTTTGGACCAGAACATGGAGTCACTGCAGCCTCCTGCAGACCACAAAAAGCAAAAAGCAGAACGGTGTGTGTGAACACGAGTGGCTTCGTGCTGAGGATGGTTCTGCAGCTTCCACCAGAACCTGCAGCGACTCACTGACTCTGTGTGACTGAGAGGCTCAGAGCTGCAGGACTGATCATCAGCTAATCAGAGCAGCTCACAGAGGAAGACACTGCGACACTTGCTGCCCGTAAACATTATGTAAGCTGCGTTACGTAACGCCGTTGTTCTGCTGCAGAGTTTCATCACGAGTCCCTCTGAAGACGCTTCGGCCCGAAGCTGCTCTGAGCGAAGCTTCGGCCTCCGGAGCATCGAGGAGCCGCCGGCGGGGAGCTTCAGCGCCGTCCGGCCGCCAGCAGGTGGACGGGAAGGTGGATCTGCTGCAGGCAGCTGCAGCCGGAGGACGGGAACACTGCAGCCATCTGCTGTCAGAGGAGCTGCACTGCAGCGAGCAGCACAAGCCAGCAGGAGACGACCAGGGAGTCCTGGTCCTGGTCCACTATCAACTCAGTTATGAACATAGTCAGAAGAAAAAACTGATTGTTCCAAAAACTGCTTTTCTCAGCCTGACAGGAAGTGTGTGCTGCTCCTGTCCTGATTAAAAAAGACTTAGAGCAGCTTCTGATGCAAAAAGCTGCTTAGAAGCACAAACATATGGATTTTTTTATGATTCTAAACCAGCCGGAAAAGATCCGTTTGGAGATAAAGTGACTTGAAGCAATTTTTCCTTCATATTATATTAACATCTAAACATGTTCTGATCCAAAAACTTGTTAAGAAATATTGATTTTTCCAATAATTACTGTTTTAATGGTATTAAACAGCGTTTCTCAGCCTGAAAAGATCCGTTTGGAGACAAAGTGACTTGAAACAGCCTCATCATATTGTTCACATCTAAAAATAATCTGATACAAAAACCTGCTCAGAAACACCTAGTTTTGAATAAAATTAGTGTTTTTATGCTCTGAAACAGCGTTTCTGTCTGAAAAGATCAGTTCTGAGATTCAGTGAAGCAGCTTTTTCCTTCATATTTTTAATATTTGAGAATATTCTGAAGCAAAAACTTGTTCAGAAACAGATTTTCTTGAAAACTTACAGTGTTTATGCTCTGAAACAGCTTCTGCCTTTAGACTGTTCAAAACTAAACATCTTCTGATACTAAAACCTGTTTAGAAACATTAGATTTACACAGTTTTTGTGCTTTAAAACAGCTTTTCTCAGCCTAGAAAGGCCAGTTTGGAGCTAAAGCGACTTGAAACATCCTTTTTGGTTCCTTTTTCTTCCACATCTAAACATCTTCTGAGACTAAAACCTGTTTAAAAACACTTTGTTTTGAATAAAATCTGTGTTTTTATGCGATTAAACTGTGTCTCAGCTTGAAAACATCAGTTTTGAGATACAGTGAAGCAGCTTTTTCAAGAACTTGTTTAGAAACACTAGATTTACAGTTTTTTTGCTCTAAATCTGTATTTCTCAGCCTGAGAAGGTCCGTTTGGAGCCTGTAGGAACCAGATCCTGCTGATCCCTGGAGCTCTGGTGGGGAACTGTTGGGGTTTGAACAGCTGTGGCACCAAGAGGCCTCTGAGCCTATCTGAGCTGTCATCTGGACTAAACAGGAGCCACTCGTTTATGACCAGATTGAAAAGATTCTGCATGTGTGGCTCCATCATCTCAGCAGCTGAAACCGAACTCCTGCAGCGAGGAGACACCTGAACCCGTCGCCTGCTCTACAGAGCGGCGTCGTGATCCCACCTGAGAGGATGAAGAAGATGCCGGAGACGAAGGCCAGGATGGTGCGCTGCGGCCGGATGTGCCCGATGTTGCTGATGACGAAGGCGGTGAAGACGAAGAGCAGCGACACCATGGGGAAGGGCGTGGCGGTGCGCACCATCTCTGCAGGAGGACGACAGGTTCTGTGAGCTTCAACGTTTTCATCTCTGAACTAAAGCAGCTGTTTCATGTTCTTCACTTGCTGCTTTTCTTTATGTTTGTTTTTGTCAGATTTCTTGCATTTGTTCACATTTTCATCCAATAAAGTTCATTTAGGTTCAATCAAAAGCTGCAAAGCTACCGTTTAGTGAAACTACACATTTATGTACATGAAGCTGCATCTCATGTGTATTTCTGCACAACTTTAAGGTATTTTTATATATAAATATATACGTTCAGCATCAGTTATTGCTTTAAAACTCTTAATATAGAAAATAAGCTGCATTTAAAGGAACAAACTGGTTTCATAGACACACCTGCACATACATTTATTTTGCATTTTTACTGCACTTTTACTTAATTACTGGCTGATTGTGTGAATTAATTTTAACGACAACAAACGAGTTCTATTCTCTAAAAAGCAGAGTTAAGCTCATCTACATGGAGAAGCTTCGACCTCTACATGAAGAACTCGGCGCTCCCTTCCTGCAGGTTTTACACATTAAAGACACATTTCTAGTTTATTTGGTTGTTTTTTTTAACAACAAACAAGAGAATTATGATGAAAAAAAACAGGAAAGTGGCTGTAAACCTGCAAAACTACACAGAACAATTCCTGAATTTCACCTTTTTTAAACGTGTGTGATCAGTGCACGCTGCCAGAATAACAAAAACACGCCTCGTCATGTCCATTTAAAACAACAGACCAAAACAACCCACTGCTGTCAACGTTAAACTGCTCATCAGTGCAACAGCTGCAGATTCAACTGAGTAAAGAATTAGCTGCAGCTCTAATATTTCTCAGACTTTCTGCATCAAACAGCTTCTTCATCCTGCTGCACTTTCAGCTTCATTCAACAGTGTTTGTGCAACAAGACTCACGTCGCGCTGCAGAGGATTGTGGGTCTGAACGAACGGATGCGAGCTCCCTGCAGAATGCGAGCAGATGCAGAGGGAGTCCAGGTGTTTTTCACACGCTGAATGTTAAATCTGAACACTAGCATCGGTCACGTTCAGCTCCCAGAATCCCTCAGCAGCAGCAGCAGCAGCAGCAGCAGCAGCGCCACTCACTCAGGATGTTGGCCGTGTTCTCAGTCGTGATCTCGATGTCGGGTTCGGTGAAGTACTCCGACGCGACGCACTTCCCGTTTTCCGATCCTGAGAGGAAACACGGAGGGATGGGAGTGAAAAACAGACAGAGTCGAGGTTTGAGCTTTTAGGATCAGAGAGCAGCGATGCATAAAGAAGCACAACAACAACAACAGCAGCAGCAGCCTCGGTGCAGCAGGTAGCGGTCACGTTGTGCGACAGCCTCGACTCCGGAGGCCACGGAGGCTCGTCTCCGTTCGCTCTGCAGGGCCGTCGCCGCGATCACGTGACATGAACACGTCTCGTCATGTGGACGAGGCGTGTGTCTCAGCGTGTCAGCTGTAGGGCTCACACGATGATGATCATTGTTTGTTCTGTAGAATATTCTCTGGACGAATCGATCAGCTGTTTGGTCAGAAAATGGTGAAAAACGTGGATCAGAGTTTCCTCAAATGTCCACAGATCTGAGATCAGAGGAGGGAAGGAGCCAGAACATGTCACATTTAAGAAGCTCCAATCACAGAAGTTTGTCTTTTTCCTTGTTCAGTAGTTAACAACTAATCAGTTAATCATTGAACTGAACTCCCGACGAGTGATCGAAAAAAAAAAAGCTTTTTATAGACGCCAGCTTCGGTTTGAAAACTCTGATGGACGTTGTAGAAACAATAAAAATAATCCAAAAAACAATCAACAAATGATTCATTCATGGAGTTAATTACTCGTCGTTGCACTAAAGAGGATGAAAAGTCCAGATTAACAAGCGTTTCTCTTGAATTCACGCTGAACTCGTGTCTCGTCACAAACAAACGGCGACCAGAGTCCAGCTGGAGGTGAAGTGAACTGAAACTAATGATCGATTAAACTTTACAGCGATCTCATCAGACGGATGTGTAACGGATCCACGTCTCTCACAGACTCCTGCACACTGTCCAACCTGCAAAAATACACTCACTTTATTTACTTTTTACTGATGTTTAACTACATTTCAGTGAAAGACTCTGTAAGGAACCATCTGCCTGATGAAGATCCAGCACAGAAACATCACAAATACAGGCAGAGTTAAGGAGGCTGTTAAAGTCTTATTTAGTCCAAAGATCTCTAGTTTAGTGTCACAGAGAAGGAAAATAATTCAATATTTACATTTAAGAAGCTGCAATCAGAGAATTCCTGCTGAAAACAGTTGATCAATTCTCTGTTTTGTGTCTAAAATGTCAGAAAACGTGGATCACAGTTTCCTACAAAAAGCTCTGCTCATGTTAAATTCATAAAGAAGTCTGGCACGGCCTCCTGCGCAGTGTCCAGCGTGCAAAAATAGGTTTATTTGCACCATTTTTGCACATAAAACGTCCCTAATGCCCGTGTTTCTGCAGGTTAGACTGAATGCAGGAGTCACAGAGGAGGCAGAAAGCAGAAATCATCACATTTAAGAACCACAGAAACATTCATAATGACAGAAGAGCGTCCGTACCGGCCACGAAGCAGACCCTCCACAGGCCCGAGTGCAGCGCCATCTTCACCTCCATGCTCTGGTTCTGCTGCAGGATGATGCCCTCCACCATGATGAGCCAGTAGTCGGTGGACACGGCCACGCCCACCAGCAGCAGCCCGCAGGCCCCGAACACCGTGGACAGGATGGTGAGCGCTCGGCTGCTGCACGAACTCATCTGCACGTCAACAAAACACAGGTTCATCAGGAGACGGCCGGCCGGCGGCGGCGCTGCTGCTCATCACCGAGCGACACCGACGGCCAATCGCCTCAAAGGTCAGAGAGCAGCGGCGAGGAGGTCGAACCCGACGGGAGGAGACGACTCGCCGTGACTCACACGTGGTCTTTATGAGACTTAGTTCTGGCTGAACGAGAAACGTTCGGCTCCTGTGACAGCGTTTGTTGTTGAGGAGCATCGACCGGTTAGATTTATTCATAGAAGCAGGAGAACGTCCAGCTGCTCAGTAACGCTCACAAACATCAGCTTCGTTTCAAGTCTCAAGACAAACAGAAGTTTTCACGACTAAAACCCAACACAAGTCTGATTAAACCTCATTTCCTCTGATTTAGGGCTTCTTGGAGTTTTAATTTTAAACTCTATCTAACAGTTTGTCAACCTGCAGCTCCGCATGAGCAGAAACTCTGAAAATAAAGATTTGGTCGCAAAATAAAACGAGCGCACGGCTACAGACAAGATGACAAATCACAGCAGGACCAGGAAGTTTAAACACATCAGGTGGAGTTCAGGGCTTCCTACAGCGACATGAAGATTAAAATGTGTCCTCGGCTGTTCGGTGATGATTCCAGCTTTACAAATGTAATATAATGCTGAAGCGCCGTATGAATAAAAAGCATCGGGTTAAGCGGACCACATACTGCTGTCTGATTGGTTTATTGTTGCCAGGACGGGCCGGTGCAGTGACAGCCATTGGCCGGTAGATGAAAATGAAAAAGTCTAACAGTAATATTTAAATCTGTCTGTACTTGGTCACAACAGGGACGGATTTGGTCTGAGTTCACTGTGAAACATTAAACATGCCTCCCTCCAGGTTTACTGGGGGGGCGGGGCAGATCCTGGCTGTGGGGTCTGCCGGGTTATGGACCCCCTCCAGTTCTGACCCCAAAGGACTTAAAGCCACCAAACTCACAACATTTATTGGTGATCAGAGTCAGAGCATAATCTGAAAAGTTAAACATGCTGGGACCAACAGGGACACATTTACAGACCATATAGGACAATGTGTTGTAGTTTTAAAATGCTGTGCAGGAGAAAACGGGCTTTCTGGACCCACTGGTTCTGTGACACTGAGCTGAGCCGGACACGTCTAAAGAGCTCATCTTTGTCTCCAAATGTCTGCACTGGGTTGTGTTTCTTTGCTCCTCATGTTCTGAGGATGAACCCAGACCGAACGTTTTGTTGTTGTTGTTGTTCTGCGTTTGCACATTTCTTGACATTTTTATCTGAGAATGTGTCTGACGGAGTTGAAACTGAAGATATTTTCTTATTTTCAGAGCACACTGAGTGGTTTTGCAATAAAAGGTAAACTTGTAATAATTTAGTTTGGGTGGAGGCTGAAGTTTGTTCCTCTTATAAAAGGGGGGCGACAGATAAAGTTTGAGAAGCGCTGCTTCAGACACTCAGGTGATGGCTGCTCCGTCCTACCTGCACAGCTCTGCTGTAGTTCTGGTTTTCCTGCTGACTTTATTTCATCTTGCTGCTCCAGAGGCGTCACACTGAACTGTTCTCCTCCTAAAGTGAAGCTAATTCGTCTGATTAAAGCAGCAGCCCGTTAAAAACACTTTCTGAAGCCTTTAGTTTCTTCCCTGCGGCGGCCATCTTGTCCTGGAGTTTGAAAAGCAGCCGCCTCCAGAGCAGCTTTCTGATTGGTTCACTGAGCAGGTGGGACGAAAGGTGTATCCTGATTGGCCAGTTTAAACTGGAAAGGCGGGACCTTCTGCCTGGATGGAGGAAGTTTCTCTCTTGCTGTTTACTTTTTTACCTCCTTCTCTCTCAACCTGTTCTTGCTCTTAAAGGTTTTTCTTGTGTTTGAGTTTTGATGCAGCAACAAAACGTCATCGCTCTGTGAAGGTGTTTCTGTTTTGTGCTGATTTACAGGTTGATGCAGTATTTTTTTCTGTATGTTTTATTTATTCTTCCACGTTTTTGCACCTTCAGCTCATTAAATTGACACTAACGGCTAAAAAATTGATGGATTCAGGAACACGTGGCCGTCGTGACTCCAGCATCTGGGCTCATATTTTACTGCATCCTGCAGCCGGTAGCTGCTGTTTAAATCATCCATCCATCATCTCCACACCTTCATCCTCACTATGGGGGGCTGGAGTCTATCCCAGCTGACTCAGGGTGAAGGCAGGTTCACCTGGACAGGTAACCAGTCTATCACAGGGCTACACTTAGAGACAGACAACCAAGCACACTCACATTCACACCTACGGACAATTTACAATCACCAATTAACCTCAGCATGTTTCTGGACTGTGGGAGGAAGCCGGAGAACCCGGAGAGAACCCACGCTGCACGGGGAGAACATGGAGACTCCACGCAGGAAGATCCCGGGTGTCCTCACCGGGACGCCAACCAGCGACCTTCTAGCTGTGAGGCCACGGCGCTAACCACTGAACCACCTACAGCATGTTTAAACCAGTTAACAAAAATAATCGAACCGCATTTTTATCAAACAAATATAAGTTTTTCAATTTAAATGAGTTTTGGTTGAAGATTGAATCACTGAATAGACGTAAACGTGAAGTTAAACGACAGAAGTGTTTATTTTTCATCATCTGTATTTTTTCATCTGCATTCACAGATTCGTGCAACTCAAAGCGATTATATTCAACACTTTAAGACGTTTTGCTGCACAGCCCTGCTCTGATCTCAGCTGCTTCGTGTTCACAGGATCCATCAGCTCTTTGCTTCCCGTCCATCGTGTTTGGGTTAGAGTTTGGGTGGAGACAGCATCAGGCCTCCATGAGAAAACAGACGAGCGAAGCGTCCCGTCTTCCATCACAAACTTTCTGACGTCGCTCAGTTCATCCTGTGCATCGTCTTCACAGCTGCACACAAACTTTAGTTGCATTCGCGCCACCTAGTGGCTGGAGTGTGTGGAGAAAGGTGTGATTCACCCTCTACAGGCCATCTGGGATTGTTTTTTTAACGTATAGACAGAGGGACATTATTCATGCATTTGGAACCAAAAACACGTCAACTCATCAGAAAATGTATTTAACACAGTATAAAAGTCTAGAATGAATACCAACAACTATTCTGCACATGTTCTTTCTTGAGGTCTAATGAACCCAGAAGACCTTCTACGTACGGCAACATTAAGGTCCTGAATAGGGTTCAATGCCTTTCTTTATTTTTTCTGTAGTTATTTTTTCCCAGTTTAAGCTCCTCTTAAATCACTTAAATGACCGTGATGCAGGAGTAACGGTGGCACAGCAGCAGCTGAACGCGTCCGTTCTGCAGCAGCAGGACTTCAGTTTTTCAGCTGCAGCGTCTCGTTTCTCGGAGTGAAATCAGGCGTCGTTCTCAAACTGCTTCGAGCTGTAACGACGGCGTCTGAGCTGCTGGTCGACCCGTTTGATGAATAAAAGCTCCACGGTGCTGCAGATGCCCACGGCCTCTCTCCTCTGGTGGCTTCACGCAGGATCCCAACAGCGACTCGTGTTCTATCAGCCTGAGCAGAGGCTGAACTTCTGCACCTTTACATAAAACAATACGTCGCGTTTGGGGCCGATAATTAATTTAACATTCGGCCATTTATCAGGCGGCTCTGAAGGCTCTGACGGCGGAAACATGATGTAAAATTAATGACTAAAACATGAGAAGCCGCTTTATTATTCCGCTCTCTCTTTGTGCGACAAACCTTGGAGGCTTTGAGTTATAATAGAAACCGCCGTTCTTCTGGGGAATCGACTCTTAGAGATTAAGCCGGGCCTCGTCTTATCTGGCCCGTCTCCGTGACCGCTGCAGACATTCTTCCACTTTCTGAGCGGCAACGAATAGAGCTTCTTCTTTTGTGATGTGTGAGAACGGAGCCGGCTGGTGGCCGAAGGGTCAGAGACGAGTTTGGGGCGTCTGAAAGGAGCCGACGGAGAGGAGAGGGAGGAAGGACAAAGTACCACGAAATACCCAAGAAGATGTAAAGGCGGAGCGACCAGAAGGAAAAGATTCACAGGAGACGAGACGCAAAGTGGCGCCGTCAAGATTCCTAGTTTTCCTTCTTCATCCAGCAGAAGGAGGCCGATGTGCTCAATAAGACAAAACTTAATTAAAAGAGAACTCCTCAACACTCATCCATCAGCATCGCTGCTCAGAACATCGAACACAAACCTCATGCGGCTGCTTGACGTGAAAAAAGAGAACTCGCTGACTTGAATCTACAAGAGCATCGATTCCTCAGATTTTAGACCTCTTGGAAGCTTTTTTAAAAAAAATGGAACTGCTACTGAGCAGGACCAGCAGAGAACCAACGAACAGGACGCTTTGGCTGCAGAGAGCAGTCGATGGTTTGGAAACACTTCGGCGACAGGAGGGATGATGTTGGATAGAAGCAGCTTCTCGTGAATCAAAGATCTGAATGAACCCAAAGCTAGAAGCGTTTTGAATTCATCCCCATCATTCTAGAACGATCACGTCGCTCCAAGTTTCTCATTTTTTTCAACATATAATCGCAGAAAACCTAAACATGTCCGTTTTTTGCAGCTCTGCTTGAGCAGTTTTGCATATTTTCAGACATGGAGGATGCTGAAGATCTATCAGGGCGCCGCGATACATAAACGGTGCATCGAAGCAAACGCCATAACGGAGCAAAGGTGACGACCTGCTCTGAGGTTTTGTTGGTTGTTGGTTTCCTCTGTGGGTAACCGATGACGTACTGATGATCTGTGGGCGGATCTGAAGGCCCGAACCGACGGCCGGACTGCAGTTTGAGGGAAAATGTTCAGAGCAGAGAAACTGAAATCAGGAACAACTCGGAGACGAACTCTGACACCTTCCAGCTGCTGCAGGGTGTCGACCCGAAACCAGCAGCTGGACTCTGCAGAGAAGAACCCTCCGACCGAAACCAGAACCAGAGAGTGGAGGAGACGAGCTGTTCAGACTTTGGATTGATGTAGAGAAGAAGAACTGATCAGTTTCCCAGACCCCCTCCT